CAGACACACACAGACACAGACACACAGACACTCACACAGACACACACACAGACACACAGACACTCACACAGACATTCACACAGACATTCACACAGACATTCACACAGACACAGACACTCACACAGACACTCACACAGACACAGACACTCACACAGACACTCACACAGACACAGACACTCACACAGACACTCACACAGACACAGACACTCACACAGACACTCACACAGACACAGACACTCACACAGACACTCACACAGACACAGACACTCACACAGACACACACACACACAGTGAGAGGATGTGCGAATGCATCAGTACCTTTTCTAGAAGAATCTTCACGCAGCTCACGTGACCCTCGTAAGTGGCAGACAGCAGCGGGGTGATGCCGTGTTTATCTGGAGCCTGTCGAGAAAAAACACAGCAAAATTCACACATGCTGTGAGCGGAGAGGAACATACAAACCCTTGAGCACATGAGTGTAATTATCTCTGAGGTGCTCTATGAATCAGACGCTGGGTTATCAGGCGTCTTCAGAAGTCTCTCGTCTCACGAGCATTTCCCCGTAAAACATTTTTGTTACATGAACATTTTTTTGTTTTTGTTTCGTCAATTTAAATACAATTATTTTAATTAAATTTAAATAAATTAAAATAAATTAATTTTTATTTAAATTTCAGCTTGTCGCTGAGGCAGAATTTCTCATTTTACACAAGTTTAACTTTATGTACTAAGATAATTAAAAATGAAATAAATATTAAAGGGGTGGTTCATTGTTTTTTTTTTCTAGGATGCTAAACCGCTTCCCGCCCCTCACCTCAGCGGCATGTGCTCCGGTTGTATTGTAAACAAAGGCGTCGTTAATATTGCTTATCAGCTTGAGCCCGGTTGAGAAGCAGAGGATATTATTGAAAAGGATCGAGCAGAACCTGTGCAAGCACGGCTTTTAATGGTAGGCCTATGTTTTTTGTTTGTTGTTGTCTCATACTTTTAGATACGCTGTTGTAAATGCTACTGCTTATGTT